GCGAGGTGACACGGAAGGTTTTGTTGGCGTTTAGAAAGTTTGGAAGACATCTTGCGCAAAGATACCTTGCGGATCTACCAGCACCATCAAATCAATGGGTGTCCAATAGAGGTCCATAAAAGTACAGGGTAGTCTATGGGTGACGTGACGCATTGGATGATCCGGGTCTGTATACTATATACATACTTAAAGCCCATTTGACCTCTCTTTTGATAGGAAAAGACCTTCTTTTAGATGGCTAGTAATAGAAAACAAGATTTCGTTCAGGTCATTCAGGTATATAAATATCTACTTCTTGGGATGGATCGCGCCCGATCCTGTGCGGTGCATCCATCGTCGATTCGGAGAACCATGTCCCACCGGAGCTGTCCCGGAGCTGTCAACGTGTTTTGGATGCCCGATCCTGTGTGTTCGGAAGAGCTTAGTGGAAGGGAAAGGTCCCTTTTCTTGACCATTTGGCCAATGGGTTGACCACTGAAAATGAACAGAATAGACTACCTGGGAGGTCAAGCCAGCGCCTTACCTCACCTTCACCATGGCTCGAAGAACAAACTTCCATACAAGAAAAGGCAGGAACGAAGTTACCAAATGTTACCAAATTCACTGCACCGAAAAGAAAAGCAACTCGAAAACAAATGGCAGCCATTTTCTAATTGCAATGGCTCCCAGGGTCTAACACGAAGGAATTTTCTGCTCAATGAAGATGATATATAAACTCTGTCAAATTCAACCAGGGAACACGCATGTTAGAACACGGAACTAATGCACAAAAATCACAAAGGAACACAATGCGACGCAATCAGGGCAGCGGCAACATGTCAAAAGCAAGACGACCTAGTCACATGACGTTGACTGGGCATATGCACAGTGTTAAGCAGCCCTTCTTCATGCCAGCTATACACATCATGCAAGTACATATCTTTGTGATGTGCTGACTGTGCAGGTATTCAATGAATACGGTATTCATATTGGTTGGAAAAGTAGGCACGTACCCCATCGCAAAAGATATAAAGACTAATAAAGACATATAAAGACAAGGTGGGAGCTGCCCCCTCTTTCCCAAGCCCCACGGCCCACGAGGTTTTTCTTATCCTGCTGTTTGGAGCTCCTTTGGAGCTGTCACGAAGTTCGTGTTCAGGATTCCGCGTCGTGTGTCGCGGGTCTCTGGATATTTTTGTCCTTGTTAAAAATGACCGGTGGTGTAGAGGACTGATTCAAGTTGAATCAGCAAGCACCAGTGCATGACAACTGGCACTTGGGTGTCTCGCAACGAAGGTAGCAATACGTATCAATGGAGAGGCTCGGTAGACCCATGCCAGACATTTCCGCATTGTCCATTCAGATTCATTGTCATGCGAAGTACCCAAGGTCAGTTAACGGAATGTAAATGACATTTAAATCACAAAGTGGGTCAAAGCCATGACAATCCAGAACGAATGTGATGCAGCCAACTGGATCCTCTAGCTGGCACACTTGAGATAGATACACAAACGATGTGGGCTCTTCTATCTTCCTGGAAAGCATTGCAAGGCCAACATCACATTGCAGTGCACTTGTGCACTGCCTGAATTCCCATGTTTGGAAGCGACATGCACTCCAAAACCTTCGGCTCAAGGTGGACAAAGAAATCCCCCTTCGAGGGATTACTCCCAACTCATATACACAGCCACCATCGCAATTCTCACAATTCTGATTTGGGATTCCAACAAGAACTTATCTTGCACACCCGCATCATCCTGCATCGCTCCTACCCAACTCCATAAAGAAGAAGGAGGGTGTTCACGAATCGCTGGCTGCCGATCACCCCTGATGGTGTTTGCAGTACTTATTAGCAGTCATTCAGGAACCAGCTGAAGAAACCCAGGGGCATACAGTGCTCTAAGCATGGAACCCCAGTCATGTCCAGTGCTCTAAGCAGCTTGCCTTCACCCTGGCCCTGACCCTGCAGGCACCACATGCACTTCTTTTGGCCCCATCCGAGCTCTGGCAAAGCCGGCACAACCTGAGGGGAGCTTTCTCGAGTCTTGGGTGGCAGCCTCGAGGGTCTGACCAAGAGCCAAGAGCCAAGAGCCATGCTTCTGTGGTGACTCAAGCATACTCATCCGGGAAAGGAGGGAAGGGTTGTTGAATTCTTATCAAAATCAAGCAAACAATAGTAAATAGTAGCTACCCCCCAAAAAAAAGAACGCCTTAAGCACATGTTGCTCACAAATGCTTGTCCAATTGTTTCGACATGAATCCTACAAAAACCCAATGCGTTCCAACTGCACGGGCGGTGGACCTGGGTGCACCACGGGGACCGACCGGTCGACCGCTGGACCGAACGCGGCGTCTCCTGGATCTGTTCTTTTGGGAGGGGGTCTGGGTCTCTCCTTTTGAGTCATTCGCGGATTGAGAACGACCTCACAAAAACCGAAGGAGAAAGGGCTATGTCATTTGCATCGATGAGCTTCTCCTTCTCACTGCTGGTCAAGCAACTGTGCCAGAAGCGCATCAGTGGACTGAATGGATCTCCAGTGGCTGAGATCTTGTGGCTAAGTTCGCTGGCATCCTCCAGGGCGGATCCAGGCTATGGCTCACAAATGCTTAAGATAAGGACCATCCAAAGCCAAAAGGAAAATAGTCTCTATAGTGATCCCATGACCGTGGCACCGGTGTTCAAGACATTTTCTGCGTAGTGAGAAAAACAATGTTCTATCTTTTCGGCAGGGGGTCATAGTCACATAGTCTAAGGCCTGTGGGTTCCTGGGGGTTGCCGGGTCTTAGTTTTTGAGTGTGATTTGGTCTGGATTCCTGAAAGTAAAGGATGATACTGATTTTCTACCCGCGCGGGATTCACCTCGTTCTGAAGGGTTGTATGTCCATCCGGACAATTAATTCTTTTTTTTTTCTAGTCACTAGTCTGTCTCTTTTACCAGCCGTTGGTGGTCAGGTCACTTGACTATCATGCACAGCCCTTCTTTGGGCATCTTTGGGGAACACCAAGAGACGGACACACGGCCGCCCACACCGCCAGACACTGACGGAGGCTACGCCGGGGACATCGCACGGGCCCCCGCGACGGATACTACTCAAGCCTGCCGTTTTAAGAAACGAATACCATTCTGGAACAGGCTTGGCAGCTGACCCCGGCCCCAAAAAAGCACCAGTTCACAGGTTCATGCAGTGAAACCTTCGGAGGAAAACAACACAATAACAAAAAACAACACCGTACACCTGCCACACCCACACCCCTACACTTCCACCATCGAACTCTTCCGCCGTGGGCCTCAACGTGATACTGCCAGAGGTCGGTCAAATCCTGTGATTCATCGTTCATGGCCTCCACAATGTGCCTGGTCGGTCGACCCTCCGACCGTCTCCGACCTCCCGCGGCCGGTTCGCCAGCGAAGAAAGAACGAAACACTCCACGCGGTCGACTAGGAAATGCATGTGCAGTACAGTAATCCTCATGTAGACAGTAGTGATGATATTTCAACCAACCATGTGAAGAGGTTGCAGTCCATATACATGATGTTACCATCCGTGTCTGGGCCGCTGGGGAGGAAATTAGTTATTCAGCAATCCCCAGTACCTTGGTTTGGGTCCAAGCCCCTGCAAGCTTCGCAGGGTCAAGACCCTCCAACTTAGATATGGTTGTGGGTCATATTTGACCAGGATGCCGACGCTACGTGGACTGGTCGGGCTCCATGTTGATTGAAGTATCAGAAGCTAGCTTGGAGGCCATCGCTATTGGGTTGGAGGCCATCGCTACTAGTAGCAAGAAGCTACTAGGAGCTCCTGGCATTACTAGTAAAGAGTATTATGACTTGCTTTTCCACCAGACAGTCTCAGTCCTGTCTCGGTCCTGTCTCAAGCTGACCTGTCGAGACAGGGCGTCACCACGTGGTGAGCGGTCACCACGTGGTGAGCGACACCCAGGTGTTATATGTTGATCCCCAAATATATAGATGACCATGGCATGGTTTCCAATACATGTTTTGGTATTTTGGTGGGAATCTACTTTTACTTTTCTATCTATTTGGGGGTCCATATTGATACCAAATCCGCTTCCTTCGAGTGAAACAGTTTTAAATGTTTAAAGAACATTTGGGGGGTTGGCTTCGGATCGTCGCCAAGTCGCTGTGCCAAGTAGATCGCCTGTTCTTGGACCTGCGACGCATTCGAGTTCCGATGGTTTTCGAGTTCGAGTTCCGACGGTTGGTTGCCTGCAGTGGAAATTGGAGCCACAACTCCTGAAGCCTTGACTGAAAACACACCTGAATCATTCCCCTTACTGGTGTTTATGACATATTTGTCGGTTTCGTCGTTTCATAAATGCAAAGGTCACTCATTTCATAAGCCTTTGAGTATGGGGGATCCTGAATCCTTTATTGTTTTTTGCCGCAATACCACAGAGCCTCATGTATTTCGGCCACGCATGCGCAAAAGGATTCCACATCGATCGCCACAACTCCTGAGTTCCGCTCCGCTCGGCCCGATGTGGAAGTGAGGCCACGTGGTCATACACATCACTTCAGGGTCTGTAAAGCTCTGCTTCTCAGAGAAAACGACCAGGGCAACCTCCAAGAAAGGCACCACAACATCGGCGAAGCAGAGTGGGTGAGAAGCCTTTCGAGGGCACCGTCCCATCCCAGCGGCACAGTCCAGTCCACTGTCTCTCCATCTACCGACCTGAAAAGCTAACAGTCCGATACTCTTTACTAGAAAAAGGGCATCGCTACGAACGGAGCGATCGGACGGTGCGAACGGGGCGCTCCTGGCACATAACAAGAAGCTACGTCGGTTACTACGAGAAAATGCGGTTTCGTCACATCAGGCTGATGCGAGTGAGGGAGAAAAAAGACCGAAAGAAGAAAGCCACATGCTTCGTTCGCATTCGACTGATGCGTTCGACGGGACTTCGGGAGCCAATTCTGCTTTGAGCATTTCAATGTCTGCATTTCAGGGACTTGGGGCGGATGTGCCCACTAACTCCTGGGACAAGCACCCAAAAGATTCGATCATTCCCTCGGTCCAAAGAAAACCTTCTTGAAGCCACATAAAATGCTCACAAAAAAAAGGAGATTGGTACAGGACGCTAGGCATCCTGGGGAAACACAAGCTGTTGGACAACATCACGCGCTTTGACCTCTGAAGCCCATACTCCACCGCTGAGAGTCTGTTCATCTCTTTGGTGACCAAACCACCTGATTCGCTGCAACGGATGAAGGTCGGGCTGCGCTCCCTGAAATCGGGCCAACGTGGATGGCATGGCCACTTGGGATGACCATTTTCTGAATACTACTCAGGTGCTGGAAGTGCTGTGAATACGATGAGCACTTTCAGAGAAAATGAATCGGTGAGCCCACCACGCTTGTGATTTCCCAGTCAAAAACGAGGTTGATCAGTGAAGTTCGCTCTTGCATGTTTCTGTTACTTTGCCTGTAGAGATCACCAACAATCCACAGGTTTCACCGCTAGGTGATGTCCTGCCCTTTGAGATACGTACGTGGGCGATGAAGGTGAACAGCTTGCAAACATCCATAACTATGTGTGTAGTCTTGTACAGTACATGTAGGTGACGCATGGCCATTCTCTCAGCTTTTTAGTGACACTCTTTTACTTAGATCCAAAGTGGTATTCTCACAGTCTTAGATACCATCAGGGTAGGCCAGTCTATCGGGGTAGCGACTCGTAGGCTGCGCAAAAGAACCATAGGCTCCAGACCCACCCAGTCAAATCCAATGACCCACGACGCATCACTTAAACGCATCACTTACGCCTTACGCTCTCGTGCACCCATGGCACCGACGTGCACCCATGGCGTCCATAAGGCGAGTTCGGAAATTAAGGTCCCCTCTTCCACCGACTTCCGGTTGCCCCGCTCTCGGACATACCTCGGACATACCGCTTCAGAGGAGCGAAGAAACGGACCTCGGACCTGGGACCTGGCTGGCCTGGCTGGTGGGTTGAGACCGCTAGTCGGGTTAAAGAAGATCTGACAAGCGCTCTCAGCTTCCGCAGCATTTCTGGGGTACCTCCCAGAATTCCTGGAGAGATTGCTTTCTTCAACATATATATATATATAATAAAATACTGCTGCTATCTGCTGCTTATATACTGCAGGCACAAAGACATGTTGATGCATATGTTCAAAACGACCAACATCGCTTAAGATCTGTGCACCTGCGAAAACGCTCAGCCTTCTGTGTTGAAGGCGGAGGTTCTCGAAGCTGGGGTCTCCGGTGGGGGTTCAACGATGATTGAACATCACCGCAGGTGGTAAACATCGATGTCTCATGGATGAACATTGTCGATTGAACACTCCTTGAAATAATCATGAAGTGGAGTTCACCACCTGTTTGTAAAGGAAAAGTATGGAAAAGTATCATCCAAGGGGCCATGCTATCTGCTTCCATGATTAGTTCAGGGAGTGTAGCATTCTCATGGGTCATGGATTGACATCTACCATTCTCATTGGTCAGCAGAGCTGCTCCAGGTTATTCTCCAGCGCGAAGTAGCCTCAGTGCCAATGCATAGCTCATGACAAACGGCTGCCCTTCTTCCCGAACTTGGTGGTGTCAAAGTGGAGCGATGGGCCAGCGAAGAAACTCAACGGCTGGCGGTCCTGTTTTTATCTATTTGGGGACCTCTACACAGTTGCTCCAATCGCAGCATGATACGCAAGAACTGACTACGTACCATAGCTGCGCGGCAGAAACGTAAGCTGCCACGGGGAGGCCTTCACTGGTTCAAATTCCATTTCAGGGCAGGTGCAACCTCCCCTGAAAAGTCAAAGAACAACATCATTCAACAATCAAAGAGTTATTAAGACTCCTCTAAATGACAGTCCTTCTGGATGATAAAGTTGATCTAAGATCGCGCGTAAACGTTACTTTTCTTGCTGCTGGGAGACACGTGTGAGCCACAGTGCCTCTTTGAAAAACAAAGTCGTTCTGTGCTAGCCTTGGCTGGAAGTGGACAAACCATCACAACCCACTGAGGAAAAGCAGCCAAAAACAGCAAGAGTCCAACGCCATCCACTTCCGTAAGAGTGTCGTTTCGAGTGAGAAAACTCCAACACTGGAATAAAAAAACATGGATGGGTTGACTAATGCCAAAACTGTGTCGAAGGCAAGTTCCGATTCTGGCTCATCCTGGGGATGTTCTTGAGATACCAGTCTGTTTTTCATGCAAGGAAATACCATGGGTCTATCCCATTACCGTGACAGTGGATGATGGTTAGCAAAAGGCTTGGTTCAAAAAAATCGGGTAAAATTTGTTGTTCTTTAAACATGTAAATAGCGACTGGTGCAGGTAATGGGAGAGACGAAGGAGAGACGAACGAAATCACATACACGACGTTCACTGCACGTCGTGCCGGGCTGCGGGACGGTACTCAAGGTCCTCACGGCCAACTTCTGCGCCACCTTGGAGGGACTCGTGTTGACTGCAAGCTGTCGAGACTCAAAAATACCGCGGTCTTTCTTTATTTCTTTCTTATTCCTTCGTTCTTCTTGCGTGTTCTTCCTTTATCTTCTTTTTTCTTTCCTCTTCTTCTCGCATGTTGTTCTTTGAGTGCGAGATATTGGGAGAAGGCTGTTGGGAACTTTTGGGTACACTTTCTGAAGTTTCCTGTTGAACGCTGTTGAATCTGTGGTTTAAACCATCTCAAAGCATGAGAACCCCGAGTCTGCCTCACCACCTAAGGGTCCAGGACCATCTGAAAAGGAGGTACCTGAACCCCCCAGAGGCAGAGGGGATGAAAAAGCTCCGACAGGTTGACAAGCTCCCTCGAAACCTGGCGGCTCGGACCCAAAATGAAGAGTCCTGGCAGCTCGGACCCATCTGTAAGGCCATGATATCTTTCCATCCGCTTCTATCCGTCGCTCTTGAGGTGCCCAAGGATCCGTTTCAGCTTCCACAGCAGCACCTGATGACAAGATCTTCCTGCAGAGAGCGAGTGAGTAGAGGCAATTCTTGTAGCGCGTGAACCTGCAAGCGCCGATGTTCTTTGGCTCTTTTGAACTGCGGGTCGGCTGGGTTGGGCCTACATCAGTGCAGCCGATACTCAGTTCTCGTTGCAGGAGAAGCATGTTTTCGACAGCCATGACACAAAAAAGAACACAACACCCCGTCCCTGCCGACAGACTCGGACCGGCTTTTTGAGGCGATGGGCATGAGTCGGACCGAGTCGGACCCGCGTCACCAGACATCAGGGAGGACCGACCGTCAGGGAGGTTGGAGGCATCCGGTCCGAAGAGCGTTGGAGCTTTTTCGTTTCTCGTTGAAGCGTCGGTCCGAATCGGTTTTGGTTTCGCGTGGCCCTTTGGACCGGTACTGAGTCGAGTCTAGAGCCTTTTTGTGACCTCTATTTTAGACTCATGAAATGACCACCAAGCACCCAACATCTGGTCCAACTTCCTATCAAAACAGGTCATAAAGTTGAGGCTCTAGGGACGGACATGCTCTTTGCATCTCTTGCTCTTTGTAGACTGGAGTCTGGCTCCATCCGAGGGTGCAGAAGGAAATGCATAGAAGCATATCAGGTGTATCATCCGACGGGATTATTTTTCTTGACTGGCACTCATACAAAACTACATGCAGAACCTGGCAGTTTCATCTCGATCGCATATGTCCAAGAGGCTGAAGTTCAGCATTCAAGGACTTGGAGAGTAACTGGAAGATGGCGACCTGCACGTCAAACACAAAGTTTGGGATATCTTCACACCAAGTACGAGCTGATTGAATGATCATATTTGATCATAACATATGCAGGCAAATGAAGCCAATGTTGATCCTGACATCTGTGGCTGGGCCACCAAACCACCTTTGACCGCGGCCGCCCCTTGAGAGAACCAACGTCAACAAAAGCACAGGTTTCTCGGGCCACCTATGGCCACCTAGCTTCCAACAATTCGAATTTTCCTGCAGGAGCCACTCGATCCCATTCACGGTCTTCAAATTGAAGGTCTTTCGGATTTCATTCCAACTCTCGTCCTAAAAGCGTCCAAAAACATTGACCGTTGTGAATTCAGATGAATCATCGATTGAACCGTTTCTCGCAACACCCTGGGTCATGCAACGTGCCCCGCACGCGCGTGTTTCACCCACACCGGCTACCCCGCCGCGCCGACTCACGAACCGCACGAGGTTCCGAACGAACGCGGCACGCTGGAACCTCACTGTCGACGCTTCTGGAGGTTTGCAAACGATACGCATGCTGCAGGAAGCGGGTCACTCGCTGACTGAGGTCAATGGGGATGTCATTCTGATGCCTTGGCCGGTCAACCGGTCAACCAAAGAAAAACATCTAACAAAATGTTCAACGAGCGTCCACTCTCTTGTTCAACGAGCGTCCCCTCTAAAACGGTCATGCCCCTGGGCGTTTGCCGTTCGCTTTTCACTCACCTCTCACTGTCGTACTCTTGGGACCGTCTCTCGGACCGTCTTACTTACCACAAGAGTCGCCTGTGTTCGACCGGTGAAGACCGAGCGCCGGCTGCGGCCTGTCATGTCCGGGGGTCTGTCGGATGGAATTCGGCTTCCGGAATCCATGCAGAAGTCCAGGCAGTTTCGGTCTGTTCTTCTCGGACTGGTTTGTCCTATTGTTGTGGATTTGCTGTTTCGGGGAGGGCATTTCTTTGTAAAAGCATGGATTTGCTGTCCAGGACACCGGGGAAAACATACACAATCTTCCCAGGACACCGGGAACCACCCGATCACCGGACAGGCGCGAACTGGCCTGGGGAAAAAGGAAATCACCGCAGGGCTTGATATTTGAACAATACATTCATATTTGATATATATATATATACATATCAAACTCAATCCTTTACTTTTTAGCCAAGACATTATACAACACAAAAACATCATTCACACCACACCTCTCTCTCTATATATTATATTATATATATATATATCTGTGTGTTTTGGCGACATTTGGCCACCAAGCCCCTTCAAAACCCAGCCACCACCAGCGCCGCTGGACATCAGATCTGCCCCGGAACGGGGTTTCATCAACCAGATATCCGGCCCAGTTGAAGATGATGTGGTCAGGTTGCAGACCCTTCCCCGGCCCTTCCCCCCCAAAAAGTAACACTTTGCACCACTCTCAGCCCCAAAATATGTGAAACCCAACTGAATTCGGCTGTTGGGAATAGTGATCATCTTTTACCCTTACTGGTTTACTGGGACACCACATGTCACAAATCGTTCCAAGCAGCAGGAAGCGTCGCAAGTCTCGAAAGAGCTGCTGCTCCTGCGGCTCGAAAGAGCTGCTGCTCACGTGACTCTCGGGGTCTCGGGGGAGGATAACACAAACCCAAGAGCCGGCGCCCAATAAACTACAGGTAGATACAGTGTAAACCAGGGAGGTAGATACAGGTAGAGTGGCTCTTGGGTAGATGTGTCGACAGATGGGGGTCCCACCATCGAATGAACATGAGCGACGCTGCTGCTCCTGATCCTGTGCTTTTTGCAAGTTGCTCATGAGCGACGTGACCGTACTCACCTGCAGTCTGATTCAGGTTCTCCGGCGCTTGATCCAGAGGTGTCCACGGAAAATACGACCTAAACCCTTCATTTTTCATATGAAGAGGTCTACAATCGATGTCTGTGGGGGTCTTCTTAATCAAGACACATGAAAATCACTCTCCCACTTGTATGAAGGTGACTTTTCTCAGCTACCAAGACTACCAACAACCAAGTAAAACTTGCGTGGAGGGTCTCTGTTAAGACACAGCCAAATCTTGACCATCAGAAGTGGTACAGGTGGTACCCCCAAGTCCTTAGAAACTGATTCCTGCTTACAGTGTTTTTGGATGTTTTTGGTGTTTTCCAGCAAGAAATGTGAGCTGCTTAGAGAAGCAGCTCCCTTGTTTCGCGAAATCGGCCGCGTCACCAGAGTGGAGAAACTGATGAGGCCCACAAAAGCAACTCCAATACCTCAGCAAACGGCCGACGATCAACCGGTCCAGTACGATCGCCGAAAGCACGAGGAACGGGTTCGCACCTGGGTGGGACGGGAACGGGGAAGAACGACCAGTGGCCAAACATGGAAGGGGTCAGGTGTCTTGATGGACTCAAAGTACCTGCATGGACGTACCATGAAGTTGCTGTCAAAGATGTTTTCGAGAGAGGTTATTGCACACTCTATAGGTATATATATATATAGTACCAGGATGTACGGGGCCTCTTGCACGACGTTTCGTGTGCACATTAAAGGCAGGTGCGGTTAGAGAACCAAAGCCAATGGCAATTTCCCATACAACAGCTTCGTTCTTTCAGCGCACAAAACCCCAAAACGAAATCAACGGTGGACGATTCTTCTTAGATGTCTTAGATATTGTTTGATTCCGGGAGAAGTATCGGATGGTCTCCTTTCCAAACCTTCACTCTGTAAATCACATGGAACCCATCGACTTTGGAGGCCTTTGGCCGATTCGCTCTCCCAAGGGCGAAGCGATTCGCGATCCTGGACACTGCCTCCAAGACGCAGAAGATCCTCTCCTGCGTTGTCTCCTAGCTATCAAGGAGTCGGGCAAGGCAGCCGATGCATTTGGGATGCAAAGGGGGCGGACGAAAACTTGGACTCAAGGCGAACTGATGGAAATGACAATTCGCCGTTCTGGGAAACTCTCTTATGGGACTCCCGAGTTCCCCCGAAAAGAATGCTAGTGTTGTAGTTCTCCCGATCTGACCACTGTATTTGGCACGGTTTCAGTTTTAAACACCAAGATCCAGAGAACAAATGTGTCCCTCCTACCGCTAGCCTAGTGGTCATTCGAATCCTGCAACATCCTGCAACATCGAAGCGAACACCTAAAAATCACTTCTCAAAGCTGTGGAAAGGCTTCTTTTGCCCTGCACCAATACCCCCTTTGTGTTCTTTCTCCAAAGGCAGACTGCCAAGGCTCAGCTTCGATCTCCACCGAACCCATGCCCAGTTGAGCAAAAGCCCAGTGAAGACATGTGCTGTATTGATACTGAAAAGTTCTTTCCTGAGTGGCCACTCTTTGGTCCCGGCCGAAGTTCATTGGAGTTCCTTCGGCCTCAACACCTCTCAATACATTGCACTGCTTATTCCTTGTTTCAGTGGCATGATAATTGTGCTCATCAAAAAAGAAGCACATGCCATAGACAATTCCTTCACTTAAGTATATATATATATATATTATATATATTGTTGTAGAGACATGTAGAAAGTGATCTGTGTGTATACACATATTTATATGTTGAGTAATCTTGGCAAGCCAAGGCGGAAGTTTCCAACAAACAGAGGTTTATCAGTTTGAGAAAAGCACTCGTTGCCAACACACGCGTTTCCCCTCCCCCAATGGCAGGGAGCCACGCAAAAGACTTTCCACCCAGGCCGGGCCAGTTCGCAAGGGTGTAACTTCCCAATTTCTGAGCTGCAGCAAAACTACCACACTTGGCTTAAAGTTCTGATCCCAAAGCCCCTAGGCTGCTTCCCTACTACATTTGTACTACAAAGTTCCCAGTTTTGACCCCAATTCTCACGTCGTCTATTAGATTTAGGACGAGAGCTACACATCTTCAACCTTGATTTTCGACGACAGTTACACACTTTGGTGACTTCCACTCTGACTTTTGACAACGGTTACACCTTTTGGTCATTTCCACCTTGATTTTCGACGATGCAATTACACACTTTGGTGACTTCCACCATTTTTTGAACAACGGTTACACCGTTTGGTCACTTCCACTTTGATCTTCGACGATGCAGTTATACACTTTGGTGACTTCCACCATATTTTGGACAACGGTTACACCGTTTGGTAACTTCCACTTTGATCTTTGACGATGCAGTTGTACACTTTGGTGACTTCCACTTTGATGTTCGACGACAGTTACACTCTTTGACAACTCTTCACTTAGCTACCGTCTACAATAATTCTTGAACTTAGTCACTGGTCCACGCTAACTATTGCTTGCGCTAGCTATTGCCTGAGCTATTTAGCTGTTCGTAACTACGGAAGTTTCTTAACTAAACTTCCTTTCAAAGGATTTGAAGTCAGGATTTGGCCAGTTTGGGATGGAGGTTTGCCAGGATGGCACAGGACAGAGTATGTGTGTATATGCTATAAAAGGTCATAAACATAAACACACCTCAAGCCGCCTAATGACTTTGATTATAGTATGTGTTGAATTACTAATGTACTGTTACTAGTTGCGACTCCGGCCTCTCCACAAAAAAGTTACAATTTATAATGAGCCAAAGTACGCGAAAGCCGTGGGTCAGAATCCAACTTCTGTTTTCCTCTTCGGTCGCCAATTCCTTAGGACACGAACAGAACAAGATGAAGCTCGACCTTTCTTCTCCATGTTTATTCCAGTCAAACAGAAAGAACAATCTTATACCAGCACCAACGGGTTCAAATAATTGTACACACACAATTGAATGCGATGAGCATACAGTCACCATCTATATAGTTACTTCTAGGTGGTGCTATGCTTCATCTTCCCGCCAGGCTTCACCAATGCCAAACCAGCCACAGGCGATGACGTGCTGCAAGACAAACATACGCAGGATGACCTCATTGGGGCTTGCGCTGAAAACGGCGCTCCGTCGCTTCGAACCACCCGCGGTCGTGGCCACCGACTGCTGCGTCTCGTCTCCAGGTCCCGGGTGGCGCTGGACTGTCGGAGCGTCGGCTCGGTTCGGCCTGGAGAGCCCAGACCCTCGGTCCAAACCGACCGAGACATCAAACCCGGGGCGATGGAAAGCGAGTGGAATTTTTCGGGTTTCACCCATCCTGGATGGGATGAGCTCATGCATTCTGCGGTCATTTTGAAGGAGGACGGACTCCGGAGGCTCGATTGGCTGGCGAAAGCGATGATGGTACGATATTACCGCAAATGTGGGTGGCTCGGAAGCAGTGGCCAATGGTCCCAGACAGCTCTGCCCCAAAAACATAACCAGTGCATCCAAGTTGCCAAAAGGATACCAAAATAGATAATTCCAGCTTCAGAGCTGATTTGCTCTCGCATCAAGATGGACACCTGATGTCGGTGTTCCATGGTTAGGTGGACTTGAACGTTTGGTTGGTCGATGCCACCAGGAACCTCGTGGCGAGGACCCTGGACGTCTCTGCGGTCTTAAAGGATGAACACAGCAGCCTACTGACCGCACCCTGGACCCTCCGAAGTACGACTGGCCGCCATGGCCCGATCAAAACAGGTACGACTGTACCATCTTGTTCCGAGGTACGAACGGGTCGACTCCAGGTAGTGACAGAATCTGACACAAGAATAACTCATCATGACATCCCCCTTGGAATACCAAGGGGTCTATTAAAGGACATACCGGGTATACCAAGGGTATAAAGATGTATACAGGCTACGTCACGATCCGGTACTTAGAGTTCAGGACATGCTTTGTCCACCATGGTCCCACATCTCGCACGTGACGTCCCACCTTGCTCATCTTGCTCAAGCCTCAGATGGTGCGGCCACGTGCGGCGTGTGCTCTCTTTGGATCGCTATCAGAAGCGGCAGGGTGTATCCGTATCATGTTCGACCCCTCGGAAGAGCAAACATCCAGTCAACGCAGTAAAACCATGTAAAAGCCAGTGGTTTAGACGGTCCCGCTCTTCCAACGCGCAAAGGCGATCCAAACATGGCAGGTGCCAAATTCCGCCCTGCTCAGGGACCAGATCTGCCCATTGTTTTGCATGGCAAGGATGGGATGATGGGTATTATAAGGATGGCCATCTGCGATCCAAATGTATCCAACCCAACAGTTCATCCGACCGCAATACACTGCGAGTCGGTAATCAAAATTGTCTCATCTTCGATTCTGCTATCCAACCCTGAAGTTTCCCTCGCTACAAAAAAAAATACAATCACTAAAACGTTCATTTCCAAAAGTGTGCATTCAAACAAAAAGCGCTACAATCATGCAAAAAAACGCATGGAGCCCTCCCATATCCAACCCATTTTCGTGTGCATTTCAAATGGTGCCCTTTTTGCGGCGCTTTGACTGGCAATTTGTGCGCAGGTGTTCAGCTTTGGCTCAAGAAAACTTCAGTCTTCAGCATCTAACAAGAACGCCACAACTCTTCAAAACCTCTAAAAAGCACGCATGTCATCAAAAAAAAGCGACGAACGTCCAAAAATGGCTCAAACCCTGGCTCCCAAAAACTCGTGCAACAAATGAAGCTTCAGGACTGTTACGTATTTTGGCATGATAGGCCACATGTTTCACACCATGAAACCATCCACTTCTACGCCTTAAAAGAAAGAACACCGCTTAAAGACACCTCCGTTCCGAGCGGCGGATTAAGCGAAACATCCGCAGGAAGCGTGCCGAGCGGATGGACTTCGTCACGCGTGCCACCCCTTCAGCTCCGTTGGTGGGCTGAACGGAGAACCACCAGTCGATGCCTACCACCAGGACGTCCAGGAAGAACCAGGTCTTGACCTCCGGTGGGGCAAGGGGGCAGAGTGGCCGGTGGAGACGATCCAAACAAAAGGAAGATGGGAAATAAGAACCCAAACATGCGGTTTTCGCTGTCACAGGGTGAATTATGAATCAAAGATGGTGAAAGGTGCAGGGAAATCTCACGTCGACATCTCTTCTTGGTGTTCAAAGGTTCTGATTCATGGTCCATGGCACAAATCCACCCGCATGGTCTGCTTCCGAGAGACATAATTGCAGGCAATTTTGCGGTGCTTCAATTCAAGTCTGCCTTTCTGGTAGTACCCAGTGAAAAAGGACAAGAAAATGTCCAAGGTCCAAAATATCAACGAGGTGGTGTCGAGCCATTGCATGAGGTAGGCCGCAGGGACATCAAATAATTGCAGCGGGATAAAGAAGATATCTCGCAGCAGGAAGAGCATTCCCATCCTGGGAACATGCCAATTTTCTCTGACATGGCGCACTCTCGCAAGTCCAAGTAACTACTTTCACAGCGCAGGGGAAACTGGTCACTGAGGCTGGTTCACTCCAGGAACAAGAAGTATCAGTTACAGGTCAAAACCTGGACTGGCGGTTTCAAACCACCACAAGAACGGTCAATGAGTCAAAATCCTGACAATGTACACTCCAAACCACCACTAACCACCACTACATTGAAACATTGTGACTGCAGATGTCATTCTCCTATTCCTGCTTGAATGTTTCATGGAGACTAACCGTTGGTCTTTTCGTGGAAGGCCCTTTGAGGCCTGCGGCGTCAAACAAAGCGACGAAGCAACGACTCGTGCCGCTCGCCGCGCCCTGACACTGCCAGGGCACATGTCCCAGCAGATTTTGAAGGTTGCATGTGGGTGAATGACCTTGCGAAGGGGCGACACCTAGCGAAGGTGCAACACCTCTGAACCCTGCGACAAAGAGGTGTGGAGTGTGAAGATGAGGATATCTGAAACAGCACCTCGAGCATTATTTTGATTTGGGGAGTGTACTTCGGCTTTCAAGCGGTCTCCGCATGTTGAGATTGATGATATAATAGATGAAAATGATGAAAGCTCTTGCTTAATCTTGTTTAGTCTTGGCCGTAACAAAACACTCCCAGAATCACATGATGCAAGTGGTCCTGTTCTTGGTCCTGTTTGGTCTGTGTTTTTTTCGGTCCAAGCAACCACACTCCGATCTCGAGACCCAGAAACATTAACTATCCACTCTCCAGCTCCGGCTTCTTCCCCACCGCCAGGACACTTCTTCTGCCCAGTCTGCCCGAGTGGCTAAGAAGTCCTTGTGCTGCTTCACCGTCAAGGCCACGCGGATCTCATGGATGCTCTCAGCGGAGGTCAGTGAGAAGCCAGACCTGTCCGGATCAAGCCGTCCTTGAGTCCTTGAGTCCTTGAGTCCCTGAATGCCATGGGTTTTTGCACTGAAGTCGTTTTTGGATCAGACCGAAGAGCCTTGTTGGTTCAAAGCTCGCCTGGTTGGGTGCCAAATCGGACAGAAACACCATGGGGACCGGGGATGCTTGAGGCTGAGGTCCCAAAAGTGGACACGTCATGTAGGCTCTTGGTGATGGTTTTTACAAAGGTTCGTTTTACAATCCAATTGAGGTAACCTCCAAAGGCCCTTCTTTAACAACCATCGGCCACCTCTCTGGAAGCCTTCAAACTCAGCCAACCCTCCGCTTCGCCGTCTCACGGCATTGCCCTCATCACCCTGGTTTGAAGTCAGGCCTGGAATTCATGGTGAGGTTGCTCTTTCTTCTCATGAAAGACATATTCACCAGATCCAAGTGCCAGCAAGACCTGGACCGGAGCGCAATTCCACCGCTCTAGACCGGGGACGTCCTAGGTTCCGGTCGAACGTCCATGTTCGGAGCGGATTTCAGTGGGGTGATGGGAGTGCAGTGGAACGGGCCACACGAAAGACCTGTGAAAGACCTGTGGAACGATCCCTCGGTTGTGGCACTCTCCCCATCATCAAAGCAACTACCTTTCTGAGAAGGGATGTGGATCCCGCTCTTCTCTCAAAATCTGATCAAAATGGCCACCCATCTGTTCCCGCGAAAGCATGTGGTGAAACGCTCGAGCTTTCGTGACGACTACTTTCACTTTCCCCAAGCACACTGCTATTGTGCCATTGGTTCCTTAGTATCTGTTGGGTCTATCCGAGTCTATTACCAGGGCCTATCTGATCGTTCAGTTGCAGGCCTTGTTGCAGGCCTGAGTAACACGTTCTTGTTGACCGACGGTGGCAGGACAGACCCAGATAGTGGGCCGGGATCCACCGACAGACTCTGTATGGCGCCGCAAACTGGACCGGTCGGGTCGACTGGATCCAGCACCGAACCAGGTGCTGAACGAGGAAGGAGGCGATTTGGGATGAGACGGCGCCAGATGATATATTAAAAGACCCTATACATTTTGTATAACCACTTGTAGCCTTATCGTTTTCTTTTTTCACTCGTTATCGCTTGTGTGTGCGTGCGCGTACCACTTTTAATGATTTCAATCAAACAACTATTTTTTCAAAAGTTCCTTCAAACAAACTCCAAACATCCAGGTCATATTCCTTGAGTTCCTGTCTTTCCTTGATGTTTGGAGTCTGTTTGAGAGCATTTCTTCAAATTTGGAATTTGTACATGTGGGACATGGTCTTCCGGAGGACTTTTTCGTGTATTCTTGTTATCGTTTCTGTTATCGTTGTGTTACCGTTTTGGAACCCCAACGCTTCACCCATTTTGGTGGCCTAACGGACTCAAACACTTACTACAACATATTCAAAAGAATGATTCACATGGGTGCTGTTGACTTGTCGGCCTAACATCCACTGAATTAGAATCCATGCATGTACATGCAACTACTTACCCATATGGACCAGCAAGTGTCTGCCCATGTCCCAGCGATGCTCAAGGAGCCAAAGAAGAAATCACTCCTGAATGCTTGTATTACACCAAAACCTTGACATGAAACACTCTTGTTAAAAATTGCACCTGAAATCAATAACTGGGTTTGAAAGCTATTTGCTTCAAGAACTGAAGGCACTTTTTCCAATGCTTCTATTCTCATGTACTGTATTGCATGTATCACATGAGTGTTACAGTATCGTTGTTGCTTTTTACTCTTTATCGTTTTACAATGAATCAGCCATGGTTTGCTAAAACGGGACCACTGCTGACATTTCTCCTAGGTCCCGGGTTCTTTTAAAACATCACATGGGGAGGGGGGCCCTGTCATACCAAACCAAGTCGGTCCGGCGGATCCGTGGATCCAGTCCACGAACCGGACCCGGGACTGGCTCGTCGCGCTCCCGCCTGGGCTGGAACATGTCACTCTGATCAGTGTAAAGCCTTGGACTTGGCGACTTGGGAGAGCTTGGAGAACCATCCGTCCCCTGGCGAACACCCGACACGTCGTTCGAAAAACCACGGCACCGGTCGGTCGAAACCGTTCGAAACCGGCGTGCCTTCGACTTTTCTGGCGTGTCTTCCTCTGCCAAGCTGCCCGAATCGGGAACCTGAGGTCCGAACCAAGCCAGGCCGTTGTGGGGTCCGAACCAAGTAAAAAGGCAGAAGTTTGTATGGTCTGTAAGGTCTGTAAGCAGATTCGCTTGGCAAAGTTCTACCTTCTCCTGTGAACTTCAGATTCAGCTGAGGCACTTTCATCTGGAAGTCCTTTGCCCTGAGTCAAACATGAGCATGATGAGCATGATGAGATATGATGAGATATGATGAGCATGAGATCAGAGTGTTTACCCCATCATACCCGACCCCCAGCACCCCATTTCTGGGGGCGGTTCCTGCCCAGTTCGCTTACTCAAGCAGCCCAGGTCATGACCTGCGTCCGTTCCGGCCAGGGTCCAAGCAGGCCGGAGGCTCTGGACAGTTTGATAGCACTCCACCCCTGACCTCTTCCTATCATTGATGTTTCCTTACAACTATCTCTTGTTCGTAGATCCTTCCAAATACTATAAGTAGAGACTCCACATCCGAAAGAGGAGCCATGAATAAACACCATTTGTCAGGTCCTAAACAAAACCAAGTTCGGCAAATCTGCAGACGAAGTGCTCATCAAAGCGGAGCGCTTTCGAAGCAGTTCCAGAATGAATCCTCTGAACCGCTCGCTCTTCAGCGTGTGAGTCCCCAGACAAGTAGCTGTTCCTGGCGCAAAAAAAATGATATCTGCGGGGAGCAAATAACATCATATTATGCTCCAATTCTTGCTTAGCTTGTTCAAGAAACCTGATAAGTACCTATAAAAGTGGTACCTCCACTATGGGAGGGTTTATATACCAGGTATATACTAGTTACATACCAGATATATATATCATTATTCTATGGGAGTGGTATGGGAGTGGTATAGGAAAAATCCTTATAGGAGTGGTATAGGGAATGTAAGTCAGTGGTATGGAAGTGGTATGGGGAAAATCCTTATAGGAGTGGTATGGGGAATGTATGGGAGTGGTATGGGAGTGGTATGGGAGTGGCTGCCAGGATGCTTTGAGTTTGAGCAGATGCACCCACGTGCATAATTCTCCCATAACTTTATAGGAAAAATACATGTCTCCAACTCGATGTACCTATACTGCTCCCATGCACAGGTACCAAGTTTGCAGGTACTTAACAATACGGTGGACTTGTCCATGAATCTCTTATACATATATATATATATATATAAATATCTATAAGTAGATCTACCAGCACCCAAAGTGCCCGTAAGTTGCAGCAAGCTCACGTCTTCCAAATTGAAAAAAAAACAAACAAATCCTCAGCAATCCCAAGATTCTGGTGGCCGTGCTCCTCAGACTTACTCCCCAGGTCCACCTCACGACTGTAGGTTGGATTGCTCCTGACGGGCGACCAGCCGCCGGCAGGTCGGCGTGGAGCGCGCCCCGCCGGTGTCGACGTGGTCGACAATAGAAAGCCGCGGAGCGTGTGACCCCTATGTGGTGCATGCCAGTTCTGCGAGGGCACGTGTATCAAAGCTTTAGAGGCCTTGAACTCTGCACGTGTCACAGAGTCTTAGTACCTGCTCCATGTTCATCAGGAAGAAACCAAAGCACAGGGAGGATAGGTACCGAGGTTTGGTGGCATGGGCGAAATGTTACCTTGTCCTTGAAACAACGGAGGTCTTGGATGGTCCCCAATGTGTGAGCCACAGCCATATAATGACTCTATCTATGACCGCACATGGACTTTTTGCGGCTTCTCGAACAGAAACAACAAAATCCCCAGCCCAGCTCCAACCGTCAGGGTGTGTGTGTGTGTGTGTGTCCACCCCTGGACAAAGGGTTTTCCACCGCTACTCCTTC